AATTATTTTGAGGCACAAATGTCAGACTGCCTCAGGAATCATTCTTTTCCCTATAAAAATAGCACCCAGAGCTCAGTGGGTATGCGTGTTTCCCTGGATCCAAACTGTTCACCCAGGATGCTGGACGTCCTGCTCTTCCCCCTGGATTTCTGCTCTACAGGACAGGTAGCTATATCACCCCAATACCCCTCTATATTTCCCACTAATCCCTTTATTTCTTAATTGGTCTGTGTGCGTCTTCTTGCATGTTTATTGTATGTTAGTACTTTTATTTTTCTCTTTAATAAAATCAATCTCTGTTTTACCTTTGGACTGGTTATTGAGAGCTCTATAACCAATCTTTGTAGTCATGCAGTTGAATGGTTTATATTATATGATAGTTTCAGTATGAAATATTAAGGATATCTTCCATATTATTTTTAATGCAACAAATTTTTATGTTAAAATTATACACACATTTTGAGGTTATTCAAGTTTTATCATATAATTGATAAGATTGATATATTATGAGAAAATGGTAGAATAAGTTCAATAGGTTGTTACAGTGGTTTCTTAAGTTATCATGTCATATATTTTCCCTAAAAATTCAGGTATTTGAATCAAGGCTTGTCCTTTATATTTGCAAAAACTGCCCTTTATATTGTATTTTGTTATTTTCCCTTTTATTCTTTCCCCTCACCCCTTTTCTTTATTCTGTATTCCCTCAAAAAGTCCTCCTCCCTGAGATATATATTTGAGATTACTGGCCAATTCTGGCTAGCATTCATGGGCTATGGATGGCTGAATGTCAAGTTATTTGCTACAAATAACTTGCGCATATCTTGCCCTCTTGTAAGCCACCCTGAGCCCATTCGTGGGGAGGGTGGGGTATAAATAAATAAATAAATAATAAATACAAACACCTTTTGTTAGCAACTACTATAACAGCAATCATTGCAGGCACTGAGCACCCACCCCACAATCAGCTACTTTTCTCCTCGTTTCTATGCAGCTTGACAGACACAAGCGTCTGAATGCTGTTATTACAGCACTGAATTGCAATTCTGGTCTAGCACACAAGTGCAAAAGTTAGATTTTTTTTAAAAAAGCAAAAAATAACGTGCTATGAAATGCAGGGGAAAAGCCAGCGCTTCCTGAAGCACTGCTGACATTTCAAAAATCTCAAGACAGTGATTCAGAAGAGCAAAGAGGACCTAAAAATGGAAGAAGTTTTTAAAAAACAAAAACAATTCAGCTCCGTTATGTGTACAGGAGGCAAGTGGCTTTGTTTGTTTGCCAGGAGCCAAAACAGTTGTGTCTGAAATGACCCAAAACATCCGTAAGTAACCAATTAGAAAACGGCCTAAAGTTAACAATTTTTTGTCTGGCCTTGGGCATGTTATTTTCTCTCAGCTTTAGTTCCACATTAGTGAAATGACACATTAAAGACAAACAATTCTGTTATAAGCCTATTTCACTAGATGCCTGCAGGTCTTAAAAGTGTGAAAAGAGTGAAAAATGACATTTACGATGTCTTCTTTGAAACTAATTTCTTTGAAACAAATTACGTGTTGTATAAATGACAGAACCAATTGCAGACCACCAACCCATAGGCTTATAGAAAATATGTAAAGCATTTTATATAGATATACTAGCCCGATACCCGTGCTTCGCCACGGTATTTAAGTTCCGTAAATCCAGTTATAATACTGATGATGTGAAGTTTGAAATGTGACATTTGTTGTAGGAATTCTAACAGAGAAGATTGTAGTGTAAGAAATGAAGTGAGACATACGTACTTTTTCTCTCTCTCTACCGAAGGACCTCTCTCTAGACCACATTGGTGGTTCTGCCCTCAGGTGCCAGGAGCACCAGGCTGCTTGATGAGCTCACTCTGGAGCAGGCTACATAGAGCTGCCTATTTAAGAAGCAGTCATCTGTTAAGTCAACTCCTGCCACCTTCCATGAAAGTGATGGCCTCTCTACTTGTGTTCCTGGATTGTTTTGGTCATATGGAGACTGTCGTTCTGAGCACCTCAGGGTGATCTTGCTGGTACTTGGCCTGTGCAGCTCAGTGCACTGCAGGAGTGCTATGTGCAAATGTCTTTGCCGCATTCCTAAGTTGCCTCCTTCTTGTAGCGTTGGTGTATTTGGCTCGACATTTGCCAGGAGCTTTCTTGGGGGCAGTAAGAGGTGAGAGGTGTGAGGGGGAGTTGGTGTGAGGGAGTGGTGATGTGGTGGACATCTCTTCAGGTTCATGAGGCAGGCACACATCGAAATGGCTCCTAGAAATGTTCTTTACTATCTCCCCATAAACATTCATACCCTGGCCCTGCTCCTACACCTGACAGACACCGGCCTGTCTGGTGTTGGGGGGGGATTGTATTTAAAGGCATTGGGGAGGCTGGGCCAGCAGCAGTGCTAAGGCAATCCTGCTGAGCAAACCTCCCCGGTGGCTGTGAGCATTCCTGCCTGTCCAGTGAAGGAGGGCAAGGAGGGAGGAGTATTAGAAGCCACTGTGGAGGCAGGATCACTAAGGCGTTCCTGCTGGGGCAGGCTCCCTGTCCTGTGTAGGAGGGGGAGGAGTATTAGAAGCCACTGTGGAGGTGGGGCTGCACCTGACAACCGCCCGTTAGGTGTAGGAGGTGGGGGGAGTGTGTTGGAAGCCATCCCACCTCCTCTCCTACACCTGACAGGCAGCTGCCTGTCCAGTGTAGGAGGGGGAGGGAGAGAAGTATTAGAAACCACTGTGGGGGTGTGGCTGCACCCAACAGACAACTGCCTGTTAGGTTTAGGAGGTGGGGGGAGTGTGTTGGAAGCCATCCCACCTCCTCTCCTACACCTGACAGGCAGCTGCCTGTCCAGTGTAGGAGGGGGAGGGAGAGAAGTATTAGAAACCACTGTGGGGGTGTGGCTGCACCCAACAGACAACTGCCTGTTAGGTTTAGGAGGTGGGGGGAGTGTGTTGGAAGCCATCCCACCTCGTCTCCTATACCTGACTAAAAATCCCTTCTTAGCGAGCACCTACGCCATGGTGGGAGCACTCTCCCCGAATTTGGTGTCTCTAGGTCCAGCAGTTTGGCATGGGCGTTGATTTTACGGTGAGCGGACTTTCTTTTATATATATAGATGTATCTGGACTAGCAAGTATCTCTTTACCCATATTTGCCACCCTGTGAGTCTAACATTGATAGTCTGCAGGCAACTCTCTTTTAAAGCAAATACTAATGCTCATGTTAGAGCAATAGTTGCTATTTTGGTGTTTAGCTATAAACCTGCTGAAATAGTACTCTGCTTATGGCCGTTTCCTTCTCAAAGAGGAATTGAAAGTTGACTCAGATGATAAAAAGGAACAAGGGAATATTTGTTGGAGAGAAATATTTAACTTTTCACAGTGTTACTATTATGTATGAATATGCTGGTGGTTACAGTGCCAAAATGTATAGTGTCCCAGAGGCAGGCATCCTTTGGTACATGCAATAAGATGGGAAAATACACAAAAAATAACTTGCCACCTGACTGTACTTTTGTCTGAAAGATTTATTCATGTTCTAACAATACATCAACAGTCGCTGAATTACAGTTTCTCTACTTCACATGCACTAAATTTTCTTCTGTCTCTATTTCTCTGTTCCTGTCCTGGCATGCTACTGCTCACTTGGAGCCTCCCTCCCTCCCTACAAAATCTGCCTTTATCATTACATGTATGCACAACTAGTTCTAACCATATTTATTTCAGATATTGGTGTTTTTTGTATCAATGGTGAGCCATGGCACCTTATGAACCCAGTAATCACAATCCCATATTACAAGGTTTAAATTGGCATTAAAAAATCAACTATAAACTAATTATTTAGTTTAGCTGCTACATGTGCACAATATCATCCAAAAGACACTCATCTAGACACCAGATACCAACATTTTTATTTACCTTAGATGATTAATTTGCTAGTTGATTTTCAGTGCAGTCCTAAGCAGAGTTACACTCATCTAAGTCCATTAAAGTCAACAGGCTTAAAAAGGTATAACTCTGTTTAGGACTGAAGTTTATCATTGATGCTATTTTAACTATTGTTTTAGTGAATTTTAAGATAGATTATTTAGTTGCCGTATAACACTAAATGTTATGCTTGTTTAAATAGATTGCTAGCTGTCTTGGATTTTTTAATGACCTAAACATGGGATATAAACATTTTAAATAGTAACTGAAAGTGTCCTATATGCTGGGTTGGAATACAGCTTGTATCTCAACCCTTTCAATGCAGCTTTGGTAATACTCCAAAATTTATTCAGTAGATGTTATTCCCAAACCATGTGGTAGCCACTGGTTCATTTGGATTAGTCACCCAGGGAGGAATTCTAAGTAGGTCTACTCAGAAGCAAGTCACGTTTTATTTTATGGGCCCAACTCCCAGGACAGTGTACTTCAGACTGCAGCCTCAGGCCTTCCTCACACCTTGAAGCTCACATTCTAGAATGTTCTCCAAAAAACAACACCTGCACTAGAAAAGGAGCGCAACAGCCTAAAACGCAGGTAGAATCTTTCTGCACCTGAGCTAGTTTTCTATTTGTATGGAGGACTTTTTAAAAATGTAAAGTAATGTTCAAAGGTAGAATCTACCAAGTAATGAAAAAAGTTACAGCACCTTGTAAAAAGCCATAACATGCCACAGAAATCCCCATTTTCATTAGCGATTTAAATGGCGGATAGACACTACCCCTCCCCGAGCAAGTGAATCGCGAAAGGCTCGTCTTCAGCATTCCGGTCAGACCTGTTCCTGTCCACCTTCACCTTCGACAGAAACGAGTGCAAGATATAAATGAGTCCAACCCCAGCAAAGCGAGGCTGCCTTGGGCCAGTATCAAGCCAGCGCCTCTTGCGAGCGGTGAGAACTCCTTCAGCTTCCTTTCCCAGGACCCGGCTGACTGCTGCCCCGCCCCTACTGTGCCTTTTCCCGCCCTGCTCCCGAGCCAAAAGAGGGCACTCCAGCGGGCCGTGATTGGCGGCGGCGGCGGCGGGCGGAGCGGTGTCTTGGGAGACCCCGATAGGAAGTTTCCCGCGGCTGCAGCTCTCGACTTCAGTGCTGGCTTAGGCGAAGCGTTTTCTTCACGCTCTGACAGCTGGGCGAGCAGCAGCAACAACAGCCATGAGCAACAAGTACGATGTGGTTGTCGTCGGAGGAGGCATCTCAGGTCAGTGGTCGGCGTTCGGGACTTCTGCCCCAAGTGCCTTATCATGAGCTCTTTGGTGGCTGCTGCGGAAATGGGCGCTGCTCTCCTTCCCAGTTTTCCACGTTGCCAGAGGAGTGACCCCCCGGGGTGGGGTGGGGTGGGGGGACGGAAAGTGCGAGTCCGAGAGTTTGACGGGGTTTGCTCGAGCGTCAAGCAGAGCCTCTCTAGCAGTGTCTGTTTTTTAAATGGCTATTCGCCCAACATAAGGCTGGAGGAAGTTTTCACCTGTCCGTCGGCTGCAGTGTGGGAAAGACCGACCAGCCATTTAAAGGGGCTAAAATAAACGTAAAGCTGAATAGTTATCTAGCCGCTCTCCTCCTCTCATGGGACTGAAGTGAGACGGGCGGCTTTTCCTTAGCTCATGCCCGTAGGGGACATTGACCCTTTTCGTGACTGGTGGTGGAGGAAAGTGCCGTCATGTCATAGCTGATTTATGGCGACCCTGTGGGGTTTTCAAGGCAAGAGGCGCTGAGAGGTGGTTTGCCGTTGCCTGCCTCCGTGACTGTTAGAACCTAGAAACAGTAGCTGTTCTTGACTGAAAGTATAACGATGTGGCTTTTAAAAAAATGCATGTGCTTTACTACTTGTCCTGCCTTTGTGGACTTTGACTCCTCTTCCATCTGCCTTGACCAGGTCTAGGGAGAGGCAGCATACACACTTTCTAAATAAAGTGTGTGCAAGGGCAATTTGTTAGAGTCCTGCCTCTGCAGGAGGTTGGATTCGGAGCTACTTTACAGTCTCTTCCAGTCTCTTTTACACTCCGACTCCACAGCCTTAAAACACTTGTAGCTAAGGGAGTGGATCTGAAAAGATGATAGGAAACATTTTGTTCTGAAAAATAGGAGTCCAATGCCATGTTTAAACCAAATGTATTCTGAAAAAGTCTTTAAAGTGCCAACAGACTCCTGTTTTAATTTGCTCATATGGATTAGCATGGTTGTCCTTCTTTAACTTTATTATGTAGAAAGTGGGAGGGGGTTAAAATCCTTCTTTGAGGCAGAGAACAAAAAGCAATCCACCGAGATGCTTCTAAAGAAGGATTTTAGTCTGAAATATTTGGGCTGCAGCATATTGTCCTGGTAATCTGTCTCCGGGTAGCACTTTCCCCCAAAGCTAGCAAATAATGATTTGCTCTTTGAAAACGGAGGATCCCAGATTCCCAAGAGTTTAAGCTTGATTGGGAATGTATAGTTGTGCAGTATTTATGGTACACTTGCAGATGTGGAGAGAAGGGCTATCCAAATAATTCTAATGAATACACAGAACATGTACATTACAGTGAACTGTTGCATGTTTGGTCAGTGCATGCAGCTTTTCCCACTAGCAAGTACCCAAAGGCATCTGTAGCTATGAGAGCAATCCTAAAACAGTCTCTCCAGAATCTTACTTGAAACTATTCAGTGGGGTTTACTCCCTAGTAGGTGTTCTTAGGCATGCACTATACTTTTGTCACATTTAAAATTCCCAGGTCTGGCAATGCATTTCAAATGCACTCGGTGTCACAGTGAGTGTTCCATGAGAGGTTTGACTGATATTTTATTGCTTTATGACGTGCACATTTATGTTTTTTGTTGTGACATGCTAAAAGAGTTAGCATATAAATTGACAAAATCAATGGTGCATGTTTTAGGATTATTTCTGGGACTTGAAGGAAATGTAATATCAGAACTATGTTGCAGAGCCACATGCTGCTTACAGAGTTTTGCCCTTTATTTGTCTAGTCTCAAAAACATTTTTATTGTTACAGATTTAGATTATATTTTTTAAATGAGTCATTATTGTACAGAGAGCACCTGTGTCTTTCAAAGCCCATGTAAGAAGCAGCATTTATGACAGTCAGCATTTCTACTATTCAAAGCACTATAGGAAAGCGATATAACAGAATAAGAGTTAAGGTTACGGTCATGTGCACATTTGTATACACATTTAAAGCTTTATGTGGAAATTATTTTTAGTGGAATATGCTTGTAAAAAGCTAAAGAAAATACAGTAATGTATATCATTTACGTTGTTTAAATGTAAAAAGGCAGCCCTGAAAAGGCATCACATGCATTACTTGTTAATTCCATAACAAATTATTGATTACAGTATCCTTCCAATGTATGAAAAGACATACAAACAAGAATTATAGCTTTGGTTTTTATCTGACCTGCACAACCAATCAAGTGTATTCATAACTTGATTTGTAAAACTTTGGATTATTATATGTATTTGTTATTTTATCCCCCCACCCCACATATATAATTCAATAAAACAGACATGTGCGACCTCATACAATTGTTAAAGGTAATCAATCAGCTGAAAAACATTAATTACTCTTCTGAAACGGCATAGTTTACCTAGTACTGTATTTGCAATGGCACCCAATTATTGTTAACTTTACGAACCAATGAATCTTTAGGAATGGAAGGCACTGCAGAAATTCCCAGAAAAATGTCTGTTTTACTTATTTTATTTCTTAATGTTATTTATTGAATTTTTACTCCACCCTCCCAGCCAAGGTTGGCTCAGGACAGCTTACACAAAATCAACACATAATTACAATAAAACATAAAATACAATGAAACATAAAATTATTAAAACCATTCTAAAACCCTTTAAACCACACAGTAATTAATGCTAGTGGCATTAATTTCATAATGGCTGCTGTTATTCAGTTCTTTCATCTCACAGTTGGTTCTTCGATCTTCTTTCTTCAATTTTGGAAAACTTTCCATGGAAATTTGCTTCCCTCCCCCAATCTGTTGATAAAACTTATTTTTGTGTAAACACCATGAGGACTGGGCTGCAAAAACTTCCATATAGCAAGCTGATCCACTTTAAGAGAACAAACACCACTCTTCTTTGGTCTTTTCCCCCCTGCTAATCTTTCAGAACGCAAAGGAATGGTTACATCAGCCAAGACAGCGCATACATAGTACCATCCTTGTTGCTTTTCTTTAGTACCAGTTGGCTGTATTGTATTACTTTCTGGCTGCTTGCCACAAGCTAGTCACATGGAAGCGCTCTGATGGTGCACTGAAAATGACCTCTCTTAATCCGCCCAGCTACCAAGAATTAGAAGTTCTAGTTGGGTTAACTTTTGTTATTCTAATATGAACTGGGGGAGTTGTTGTCAAATAATAATGGAAACAGGGCTTCAACTGTTGTTGAGGTTCAGCCCTTGAATCTGCTTTCATTACCAAGTCTTAGGTCCATTCTGCATCTAGCATTCACTCTGTTTTACAAAACCCACACTGGAACAGAAAAAGATGTAGCTCAAAACCACATTCTAAGGCCCATTCTGCATCTAGCATTCGCTCCGCCGTTTTACCAAACCCACGTTGGAACAGAAATTCCCCTCTACATTGCATGCCACTTTCACTTTCTTTGATTGTCTGATTTTATGGTAGCCTCCACACTACATGCTGGTTTCACTTCCTTTGATCTCTCAGTTTTATGGTACTGTCTGCATAGCTTTATGGTGATTTTATGGCCATTCAGGGGTGACTCTGCAGTCAGTACAGCATTGGCCTGGGGTATTTGAATGTTGTTTTGAGCCACATCTTTTATTTATTATTTATTATTATTTGTATTTCTATCCCGCCCTCCCCGTAGGCTCAGGGCGGCTTACAAGTCGTATTACCAAGTCATAACATAAAACAATACATACATTAAAAATTTTTAAAACCAGTTATAATCATAGAAAAATATATTCAATACTCCTCGCATAAAAACCAAGATGGCCATCTCTTAAAATCTCATTCAAGTGCTCAACCTCCAGATTACCCTGTACCCAAATTCTAGTGCGTTGGTGGTGCCATGGCGTTGGTGGTACCATGGCGGTGGCGGCTCCTATTCGAACGCCTGGCGGAAGAGCTCCGTCTTGCAGGCTCTGCGGAACTGTGCTAGGTCCCGCAGAGCCCTGATCTCCTCTGGGAGCTCGTTCCACCAGATAGGAGCCGCCACTGAAAACGCCCTATTCCTGGTCACAACGCATTTAATAGCCCGGGGACC